AGAAGACAGAGCCATGAGTTAAAAAAAAAAAAGAGGGAAAACTTAAGCCATTATGTGAAACAGGAAAATTAAAAAATTGCTTATTAAAATCAACCTGAAAAGAATTATAAAACATATCTTATACTATAATTTGTCTTAATAGAAATAAGAGCACAAGTGTGTGAGGTATAAAGCTATGCAGGACAATATTAAATTACTGAAATGCATCCAAGAAAACATAACTAGACAAACACAATGATAATGGGTAGGACTCAAATCCCAGCAAAAACCCTGGGCCAGTGAGATGATTCAGTGGGTGAAGGCACCCACTGTCATTTCTGACACCTGAGTTAGATGGAGCCACATGATGGAAGGTAAGAATTAGCTCTGGCAAGCTGTTATCTGACCTCCTTAAGTACATTATGGTTCATAAATGTGAATGTGTGCCTGAACACACACACACACACACACACACACACACACACACACAAATAAATAAAAAATAGATATCTTTAGAAGGGTAACAAAATCACTCCATATTTCCTTGTGACACTTAAATCCAAGGCTGCATGGAAAACCAAGAATGGTTAAGGAGTTTTGAAGAAGCTACAGGTAGTAAGATTTACCCTACCAGGTATAAATTAGAACACTAGAACCCTTAAAGTAAGTTGACATACCATAAGTACTTCTCAAGAATAGACAGATTAAACAATGAGACTGGAAATCCCCAGAAGAGGAGTAAGATTATGAAAATGTCAAGTAAGGTAGAGCTCCAGATGCTTTTCACGTACAATGCTGTCATAACAAGCTGCATCAGTCCAACACCAGCATAAGCCTCAATGCACAAAACTCAATAATCCGCAAGTTACAGATATAGTGAAAATCATGACAACAGTGGAAGGACTATTGCTCCAATAAGTTTTAAAAGGCACAAACCTACTTACCTACATTAAACCTGGAAAGCTACACTGATATTCATAGACTATGCTAAGTGTAGAATGAACAGACAAATCACAAAGGAAAAGAAAAAAACATAAATGTATAGAACTGAAATTTTTAGCATATATATTTATAAATCACACCTAGAAAGTTGAAAGTAAAAATTAAAATAGAACAAAAAGTTCACTGACGAAAACCTCACGTGGCTTCCAAGTGAAATGATGCTTCAATCTCTGGTTAATTAAGGAAATACAATTAAAGACAATAGTATCCTCTCTAACATTACCAAAGTGCAATGATTGGCACTTTCTACATTTCTGGAGAGAAAGTCAACTTGAGCAATCCCTTTGGGGTTTGTGTGATATGTTCTTATATGCTGCAGGACTACCAAGTCTATCCTATATCTGCAAGAGTGTTCTGCATATGTGCACAAGGAGGCATGCCCCAAAGTGTAAATAGACAAACCATAGAAACAAAAGCCTGGAACCAGATGTCTAATGGAGCAATACAAAAATAAATCATAGCATATGATGACACCAGGAAAACAGAATAAACTATAGCCATCTGATGGGCTGTGTGTGAATCTCAAGAATATGATACGGTACACAATAGTTACTAAAGAAATATGTAAGCGGAGTTATTCTTGGTACAAAGTTTAAAACATACAGAAGGAAACAATTCATCAAGGAGGCAAATGTGTAGCTGTGAATAAAAGCAACAAAGTGATAAACACAAAATTCCTAATAGTATTTATTAGTGAGGGGGGAAAGGGATAAGTGGAATGGAGGAAATGAGTTGTGGGTACCACAAAGTAAGCATTTTCCCTTTTATTCTTAAAAGAAAATGGGGAGCATGAAGATATCATGCCTTTCCATTGTGTCCCCTCCTTCATTTTTATAAAGACTTTGCATTTATTTGTGGAATTTAATGATTCCAAAGAAAATTAGCTTTTTAAAATTCAGGAAAAAATCAGAATCCTAAGTAGCAGAGAGATTAGAGAAGCAGCCACCTCTGTAGACAGCATCTCCATCACATCCAGGCCAGTCACAGTTGCAGGTACCATTATGCTGGCACTGTCCTTTTACTTAAAGCTTCCTTGTAGGTTGCTCACTAGTACTGCCTATTAGTCCCTGTGGGCATTTGAGTTTACAGCCCTGCATGAAGGCAACATCTGTAGATGTGTTGGTTTCACGCCAGTACTACTCATCAGTTACTGAGCCCAGCACTCTGCTTCTACAAACTTACACTGAAAATTCTTCTTAAGACTTGACCTCTCCCCTTAGCCTTCCCTCCTGGTCTTTCTCTTCCTTTCCATATTTTTTTCTTGGAGGTTGCATTTTTTTCTCAATGATAGTAGCATTCATTCCCAAGAGTCAGCAGAATCCTCAACTCTTTTCCACCAATTTCATTTTTATGTCACGTAAACAGTCATGTTCTAGTTGTTGATCTGTGGTCAAAAATGGATAGGTATCACTTCAAGAGTGTTTTGCCCTTTATGGTTCCCAAGGGCTCTTGCAGAAGATTTTGTTTCTTAGCACAACGTTTAGCATATGATCAAACTGTAGTCTCAGCTTGGTAGCCCTGCATGAACATGGCTTCCTCTTGTGCTAGTAATAAAACTTCATCCACACTGCACTGAGATTATTCCCAGGCAATGAGAAAAATCCCTCTGCAAATGAAGTCATAAAATAAACAAACACACACCTGACTGGGGCGACCTTGGTGGAAGTCTTGTGATGAGACTATGGATTGGAGAGATTGTTACCACACACAGGGGAGTAAGATCAGTAAGGAAAGAATGAACCAAGTAGAAGGGAAAGCCTTTTGTTAGGAGAAGTGTGGTGGCCCTCCTACTTCTCTTTCTGACTCCAGTGAAGTTAGTATAAGAGGCAAACCTTCAAGGACAAGGCTGCTTCCTGGAAGTAGTTGGGAACAAGGATGGTGGAGGAGCCTTCCCCAGTATCTATCTTGATATGATTTCTCTGTGGTGACAACCCACTAAATACTTTGTCCTTGTGGCCATTTTTCTGAGGCACTAAAAGGTTTGCTCTACCCATATATGGAGTGGTAGGGAAGCCAGCAGTGGGTAAAAAAGAGATACACTTTTCAACACTGTTTAAGAAATATGAAAGTTGGAAACATTAATTCTAAGGAAACTGACTTGAAGAAGAAATGCAATTCTAAAGCCATTGCTAGGTCCTGCCCCTTGGCTGAGCTGCTTTCTCTGAAATGAAGAGGATCTTCATGAACCCCTCTCTTATCATAGGGATTCATAACATTGTTCAAATCTAGAAGATTAATGGGGATGATTGAGCTCTTTCTCATTAAAGTGGGTTGGTCAAAAAAAAAAAACTTGCTGTGGCATACCATCCTGTTTTTCCCTTATAATTAACATAGAACAAGGTTAATTTTTATTACAATTACTAAAATTGATTTATTATTTTGTATTTTCAAAAGTGCATAAGGACACAGAATCTGTGCTAAACTAAAACCAAAATATACATCACTGTTACACCACACAAAATGACTCCTCTTTATGCCTCAACTAGTGCCACTCCCAAACCCTGGCAGCCCTTGATCTATTCTAAATCTACATCACTGAGACTCAAGAACTCTTTTTTGCTGATATAATAATTTTGTCAATACCAGAGCAGGGTAACATCCCTAATCTGAAAAGTCTCAATATGCTTGAAACTCCAAAAACAACTGAGCGACACTAGAAAGCCATTATCTGGAGCATTTGGGGTTTTCAGATAAGGAATGTTCGAGTAAGGTCTACTAAACTCTAGACATTTCCAAACTCTGAAATGCATTTGATTTCCAAGAATTTCAGGTAAGTAATATTCCACCCACAAGCATAGTATTTTAGAGTAAGTCATATTTCTAATGCTGGGCCTAACTTGAACTTTATAGATAAAGAAACTGAGGCTTTGAGATAATTTAGCGATGAGAAGAAAAAAAGAATTGCCTGTGGTTATAATGTTATGAATCTGGAGTCATTCATAGATTCACCAGTCTGATCATGAATAAATTTTAATAAATAAGAGACCTTATTAAATAATGGCCAGGGCCGTAGATACTGGCCAGGTCCATGCTCAGATTATGGCACCAAATTACATTAGTCAGGGGCTTAGAAAAATGAAACTCACAAGGCTATGTATGTTATGCCTTTCTTCAATCAGAGGCAAGCATACATCCTGATGTACTTCCTGCTTACATACTGTGCAATTGAGGCAAGCAAGCTTGTTTACAGAAGCAAAACCACACAGCTTGTTACTGTACAGGAACAACAGCACTCAGCATTCCAGGAAGTTGTATGTCCTTGGGCAAGTGGGACTTAGAGGTTAGAGGCAGTTTTGCTTTATAGATCTCTTAATCACAGCAATTTAAACTTAAAAGGTAACATTAGGGGACACTTCATGGCTTGATTTTTAAGAATGTCTGACTATTAGATCTATTTTCTTATTTTACATGATCTAATTTTTAATTGTGTGTGTATGTTTAGGGTAGGAGTTGTATGTACATGTGCAAAAGGTAACATTAGGGGGCACCTCATGGATTGATTTTAAGACTGTCTGACTCAGATCTATTTTCTTGTTTTAAATGATCTTATTTTTCATTGTGCATACAGCTGATGGAGGAGGCCAGTAGAGGGCATCGAATATCCCTAGAGCACTCTTAACCTCTAAGCCACCTCGGTCTATTTTCTTAACTTTGCTCTGATTGTGCCTTCATAAGATCCAGACAATATGGCAGAGTGAAAACATTCTAGAAAACTAGGTGCTAGAATACCCTTACTTTTAAAAATAATTATTATGGAGAATGAGAGATATAGGTAAATATGGTTAATTTTAATAAAAAACAATCATCAGGTATAAAATAAGGCTATTACCCTAGAATACCTTCCTAACAAGCTTTGTGAAATGTGGAGGAGATAAGCCTAGAACCCTGACACTATCCTGTCACAGACATGTATGTTTGTAAAGCAAAATCTAGACAAATTAGATCCAATGCCATGAGCATCTGCCTCCTAAAATTCCTAAGCAGGGAAAAGGATCTTCAATCTATGTATTGTATTTCAGGTTGGAGTCCCCAACCCGATCTCTAGTGATGGAAGCCCCGAAAGGGGTAGAAATAAATGCAGAAGCCGGCAATATGGAAGCCACCTGCAGAAGTGAGCTGAGACTGGAGTCCAAGGATGGGGAGGTAAGGAGTGGGAAGGAAAGAAATTGGGAGTTCACTGGCCTGAGGGGTCAACCTTTCCCCTAGGTTGGTTTGCACTGAGATTAATCTTACACAGTATCAACCCAAGGAGTACACAAAATAGTTGAACAGGATGATTATAAGCCAAACCCATAGCAAATAAAAGTTATGATGCATTCTTTGTAATGTGCCAGGATAATGCTGGGTATGTGTCACAAGTACAAAATCACATGACTGTGAAAAATGAGCACTGTTTCCAAATTCTCTCTCTCTCTCTCTCTCTCTCTCTCTCTCTCTCTCTCTCTCTCTTTCTCTCTCTGTCCATCTATCTTTTTCTCATACTCTTAAAATAAGATTTTGTTTGCCCCCATACATAATTAAGTTTTATATTAGACTCATATGACTGAAAATGAACCTAATTCATATGTAGATATTTTATGTTGTGTGCTTGGATTCTCCTTGAGAATGGGAAGTTGGGTCTAAGCACTACCCCGAGTCAAAACAAGCCAGAACCCAACAACGTCAAGTAGATTAAATTGTTGTTGACTCTCCTTACCCCAACACAGCCCCAGCCATGGAACACAAATGCCACTTGTATTTTTAAGCCAAGTTCTCCTAGCAGCAAACGTCTAATTTGACTGCAGATTAAAAAGAGATTTTTTTTAAGTGTTCATAGGTGAACTGTTTCATTTAAGAATGAAAATAAAAGGGCAGCCTGACTTTTAAAGATAAAACACTACTACACCTTGCATATCTACTTAGAGGGTACCTAGCTCTCTTGCATAATTATATCCATTCAGTGGGATCTTTAAAAAAAAATGTTTGGTCTAGTTAGACATTTGTTTTTTGTTGTTGTTGTTATTGTTTTAAAAGAATTTGTTTGATGGTAACTTCCATTATAACAACTACCTCTTCAAATAGCCATGAACTGCAAGCCACTCTCATAAAAACAGAGTGACTCATATAGGCAGTTCAAAGCCACTCAAACTTGACCTCTGGGGGAGGCAGTTACAATCAAAAACCTAATGACAACTTTCACCGAAGCTTATTTTTTTTTCTATGTCCAGCCTTCTCAAAGTACATTCTGTTGAATATTAGTGCCATCATTAGAAAAAGAAAGCAAGAGGAAAGCTCACTGATCTTTTAAAACATGAAAAATGCTATATATTCTACTGTCTTCTGGGAACTTCTTATTGGCCATGCGCATGATTGCCCTATAGTAGTGAACTCTTTACTGTGTCATTCCCACATTTATTTGAATCTATGATGTTATTCTTATTCGGCATATCACACTTTTGCAAAATGCTAACATCAACCAATAAGGCATAACCGTGCTAGATTATAGGTGTGAGAGAGAGAGAGATCAGAAACTCTTATTTATTTATTTATTTATTTATTTTACGTTTATGAGTGCTCTGTCAACTTTATGCCAGAAGAGGGCATCTGATCCCACAATAGATGATTGTGATTACTGGAATTTGAACTCAGGATCTCTGGAAGAATAGCCAGTGCTCTAAACCACTGAGCCATCTCTCCAACCCCAATAGAGGCTGTCTCATCCCCACTACAGACATTGCTCAGCCCACAGTCAGTACTGTGAGATGTAAATGGAATGGAATATTCAGGTGTTTCTGAGTTTCAAGAATGCACATGGCAGCCTCTCACTGATGTTCTTTTCTATTTTCTCTCTCTAGATTAAGTTAGATGCTGCAAAAATCAAACTACCTAGACTGCCTCGTGGATCCTACACACCCACAGGAACGAGGCAGAAGGTCTTCGAGGTCTGCGTCTGTGCCAATGGGAGGTTATTCCTCTCCCAGGCAGGAACTGGTTCCACTTGTCAGATAAACACAAGTGTCTGCCTTTGAAGGACTATCCACAGTGGACAATTGTTGGCAGCATCGAGGCCCTTTTTGGCTTGAGACACTGGCTGCCAGTTATTTTTACTAGAACACAGAAAGCCTATCAAAGACCTTGTGTGTTTGTGTGTGTGTATGAGTATGTGTATGAGTGGGTTGTGTGTATGAGTGGGTATAAATATATATAAATATATATAAATAAATATATATATATCCTCTGTATAAAATGAGGTTTCAGTACAAAAGGAACCATGGGTGACCCTGTGACATCATTCATTGTCATTTTTCCACCCCATCACCACCACCCACATGACAGAATCTAAGCACTGGCTCAGCATTCCCCGGGCAATTTCAAATCACACAATGAATTGAGCACTTACAGAATATCCATTGATATTTTCAAGTAATCCCCTAGCTTCTCTCTTAGAGTCGTCAGAGGCAATGATGGCGGGAATCTTTGGGTCACTCTCAAGCAATGATATATTAGTATAAAAGATAAGCATTTAATCCATATGTAATCACAACATCAGGCAAGTTGTGGTAATGGAGGCCAGCCTGGGTTACATAGTGAAACTGTCTTAAAAACATAGACATTTGATCCCCTACAGTTTCCCTTTCTTAGCTTCAGTCAAGCTGGTCAAGTTCTCCTCTTCAAGGTAAAGATAGGGTATACCCATAGAAATAAGTCACAAGAAATCAAAATAGCCACCCTACCTTTGTAGATCAACATACTAGGAGTTGTGTGGCTAAATGAATAGGGGCAGGGAGGTTGAATTCTGAAAGAATGTAAGTCACTCACGTAACTTCTACTTCCTTTAAACTCGCATATTGTCCCACAATCAATGAGTAAGTGCTTTGAATCAGCATAGAAGAGGATACCAGCTCTTCCACCATGGGCTAGAAGCCATTCAGTGGCCTGACAGACAAAGATACATGGCTGAGACATCTCATTTAAGGGAAAAACTGTCTCCCAAGCTTTTAGAGTCTCACTTTTGACTCTATCCAACAGACTCAAAATCACTAAATCAATCTGAATCTCCAAGAGTGAGCCCCAGATCCCAAGAGAAGTTACTTTAAGATGGAAATCTAAGAGTACCATAGGGAAGCTAACTAATTTTCACAAGTTTCCTGAAATGGATGGGCCATTTAGAGACATGTCAGGTTTTCAAGGGCTTGCACAATCTCTCTTGCTTTGCTCTTATATATTTTGTCAGTGCTGGGGTATTCATATTCCCGAACTCACTGTTGTGTTTTTAGGAATCACAGACCTAAGACACTACATGCTGCCAGAATTATTCATGACAATATAGACAAAGTCATGTGTCCTCATCAGAATCACTGTGTCCCCTGGGCTCAGCAGCACCCAACCCCCACATACAGAAATAGTCTCTTAATTCCCGCCATCAGCTACCTCTTATCACCCCACCTTCATTGCCATGCCCCAGGGTCACCCTGGCCAGCTCTTGTGCTGGGACAGGGGATTATACCATCTCTGTTCAAAGAGGGGGAAATGTGCCTATGCCTTAAGCCAATGCACTCAGCAAGGAGAAGCACATCCTATTTATCTTGTTACCTGTAGTTTATTTTGGGTGGTTGGAGGGAAATGGTTTAGACATGACTGGGCATCAGAAACTGGTAGACAAACCAAGTGATTTCCACATTTGGACTCTGAGGAGCCCAGAATGGAGGTATAACTGGCTTAGATCATCCTTGATGCTACTAGGCAAAGCAGCAGCCCTACAATCTTGAATGAAGTTGTATTTGTAGGCCTGAGTGGCCCTTATTTCTGTTTTTGTTCTCCACAGGGTTCTAATTTTTTTTCTTACTCCACAAGCTGAACAGTTTATTATAGGAAACAAAAAAAGAGATTTGCTATTTCTGATATGACACTCAAGCAACAGGCTGAGGTTTGCACATATGGAATGTACTCCTTGGTTGCTTGTTGCCACAACACAGGGACTCTTAACCTGACTCATGACTTGGACTTCTGGCTTCCAGGCCAGGCCTGGATTCCCTCACCCTCTCTGTCTATCTTATGCAGAGGCACTGGGTGGGTCCATCTTAGGGAAGAAGCTTAAAATTGCTCCATTTGCAGCATGGAATTTACAAAGATATCCTATACAAGGTTCCAGGGTACTGAACCTCTTATAGGCCCTTTTGTATCACACACAGGTATTATTTTCAAGTCACAAAAAAATGCCCTTCTTAGCTTTTAGAAGCCCCTACCCCATATCCTTCAGATACACAATAACTCTGAATTCCCTTGTGGCTAAGTATATAAAGAAGACAGGGTTGTTTGGGAGTGGGTGGAGGGAGTGTCTCATCTCATTTAAGCAGACAAACTGCCATTACATTTAACCGTCTCAGATCCATTGTCTATCAATAAGGAGAAAAACAAAGTTTCCTGCATCTCTTCTGATTTTATTTCCAATTGTGGCATAAAAGTCATACTCCTTGGGAATTTTATGACAATTAAAAAAACATGGCCACACATGCAAAAATGAATCCTATAACAAGCAAATCACACAGACACACAATAAAATTAATAGCAGTTGGGGATATAAATGGAGAAATCTCTGGAGGAATACATGATACAAAATTCTGATTAATTCTGGTTTTCGATTTTGTTAAAGGACATCAGGTAATAAATACAGAGGATCTCTGGCCTGAGAAGATTACATATTTCAGTTCAGACTAAAAACTGGTGAAATGCATCCCTAGTTGTCAAGGAATTCCCCCATCTACCCACCCAATGCTCTTCAACAAGAAATATTTCTCCATAGTCATGAGAGACACTTTCACAGATTTCTGTAGAGGGGATCAGCATTTATATTAATGTCTTTTGACCCTTACATTTTGAAAATGAGAATCTTTCTATATAGTATCTTCTAGACAATCACACCCCTGTGTCTCTTAAGCAGCTGGTGGAACAACAGTATTCAAATGATTCTCCATCCTCCTAGAACTTCTGGTATGCTAATGTTTTTCAGAAAACATTTTACATATCAAAATGTGATCTCCAGATACATTTATCATTTAGTTCTGTTCAGCATGTCTGTTTGGCAAATCCTCAGAGTTTCATTTGGAGGGACTGCCTTAAGATGACATAGGTTTTGAAGAGCTCCGGTGGCATCTATCTAGGTAGAAACTTAGTGTGTGGTTTCATATTTGTTACATGACTAAGGGACAGCACTTACAGACTAAAACTGGTTTTTAACTTCCTTCAGGCCATTCTCTCTCTAGACAAATAGCACTGCGCATCCATCCACAAACCATAGACCAAAGATTACTTGAGGGTTGACCCTAAAAAGGGCCAATAAACTAGCAACTGGAGACCAAGCCTGAGTCCAAAACCACAGCCATTTACATGTCCTATGAGCCATGTCACCCTTTACCTCCACCATTGACTGCATGGCCAGCAACACAACATTATGGTTATGCAGCCATTTATAGAAAACATTTGCTGACCCCTGAGCTATAGGTCACTTGTAGAATGTGTTAGGCATAGTGGAACAGAAGGCAGATTTCTCAGGAACAAGGAGTAACCTGTGTTATCGTGGGACAATGGGGATATAAAACTTGGCTGAGATTTGAAGAAGGACATAGCTAAGAGAGAAGTCAGCTCAGAGGACTTGGGCTAACTGAGAAACTGGAATGGAAAGAAGCTTGAGAATAAGGAAGCTGTGTTCCTCTCACTCTTTGCAGGAGGGCTTTCATAGGTGTTTCTCAGGTCAGTGATGCTTGACCAGAAGTGAGCCAACTAGTGTGATCTTGATTCACAGTCTTTTCCCTAAAAATATTTAGTCTATCTACACCCACCAAGACTGCATCTTCCCATGTGCCAGAGAGACTTCCACACCTAGGTCCTCCAGAGAATACTCTTGACCTTATGTGAGCTCTGTTACTCATATGTCCAAGGTAGCCACTGTTCTTATAGCCCCAGAATAATTGGAAGGATGCAAAACAATAACATTTTTTGTATATGTAGGAATAAACAGTGAAATATTTTCCATGGAGCCATTTCTAGAAATGTCCAGATAAATGACAGTTTACTTTTGCTCTTTGGAATCTGAGTCTTTTCTTTGCTCCTTTGGAGTGGGGGACATGTTTTGTATTCATGTACCTCTGCTTCTGTGTGTTAAGACCAGTTGCTATAGTAGATCTTCCCCTTTGCTAATAGTGATGTTGTACTTGCTGTTCTTAACTCACCATCATTATAAATGAAGCTTTGTGGGTGTGAGTATTTACCTTAGAGAATGTCTACCATTTTGGGTCCTTAATCTACATCACTACAGAAAAGCCCTCTGCCTTCCACATGAATATATCTGAAGGACCAAGTTGGCAGACCAATGAGAGTACCCTGGTTTTATTTATTTTGAACAAAAGACAGCATTAATGTTTGGGGCCAAGGGGTTGAACTGACCCATTTTTAAGTACCTGATCCTTTATTAACGATCAATAAAAGATGAAAATGTCATTTATGTAAGTTGTAAGACAAAACCAGACCTGCCTCCCACACTACACACCTTAGGAAGTCTTAAGTACAAAGATGATAAAGAATCAGTTCCTTGAATGATACATTTTGCATGGAGCACCAGTAGCAGGCAGGTTGCGGGACAGTTCTAATGAAAGAAACAACCTTAGAAAACAGGCCTTTTATCTCAAAGATAAAATGTCTCTCTTGCAGTTTTTCATCATTTTCCTTGGAGGAAGGCTTCCCTAGTTCCAACATATTTCCATTAAAATAGCCGAAGCTTACTGCACCAGGATGTCAGATGTATCTCTTTGTCTGTGGTAATCGGAATTTTAAATTGTACAGTTGCTTCTGAATTTCCCATTCACAAAACCAAACCACTGATCAGTGATAAAGCAGCCCCAAGCCTGCTGCTCCAGGCAGCACAATGCACCATAGGCATTAGCACTTTCTAAAGCAATGTGATTTCTCTGAGTCTTAAAAGCTTTCTTCATAATGGAGTCCTTGAAACTTGTCAAGGTAGGTCTGAATGGCAAAGGGAAAATAATTACCCAAGGGAGGTCCTCTTTCTGAGTATAGTTGGAGCACAAGAAACTCTCCTGGGGGCACCCAGGCTCACAAAGGTTATTTGGCCCCACCCTCCCCCATCTTGCTTTTGTGGAAATGCACAGAGTAAGACATCATTATATTCCTTTGAGGAAGAGAGAATGCCATGGGGATTTGATGCAGTAGGGAGGGTTATGTCACAACCCATTAATGATGCCAACAGGCCCATCCATAAAGAGTTGCAAGTATATAGCAACAGCAATGCCAACTGCTGCCCCTTAACTTAAACCCAGCAACAGGCAGAATCAGGACACCCTTGGGGCTACAAATGGGAGTAGATCAAAGGAACCGTTGCCACAGGCAAGAAGTAGCTTTAGAGTCCCAATCTACCTGTCCTACTAGGAAGCCAGAGATCTCAGCCAAAAGCCACACTCGTTGCCATCCTCACTGGCAAGTATGTGGCTTTTGCTTCCTCAGTAAATACAACAAACTTGAAGCTGCCCTTGCTGGGAAAACCAGAAAGAAAACTCATGTTTAAGATAAAAAAAAAATCTTCCCCACATACCCAGAATGTCTTCAAAGCCAACTTTTATCTAGGGCTTCTTTCACTGGAAGCAGAGATAGGTCAGATTTCATAAAGGAAAAGACTCCATCCCGGCTGAGAGTGGTAAAACAATGGGTTGTCTGAGTACTGAAAGATGGCATTGGTCAACAGGGAAGACATAGGTGTTCAATATTCACATTAACCTGAGTCAGGAGATTCTATGATCTTGAGGGCCAGGGTTATTTGCTTTCTGAACAGGGAGCGAAAAAGCTATAAAATTTCGCCATAAAAAGAGCCATGTCCTCAAAACTCATGCATAAACAAGAGGTTTTCTTGGATCCACAGCCTACCCTAAGATATGAAAAGAACTAGACTCTACTTTCCAATCGTTACTAGAATTGTGTGTTAATATTCATTGACCTCTGCACTGGGCACCATGCTCAATGCTTTATCTGCATCCATTTATTTCTTCCTCAGAACAGTGCTTTGGAGTTGAGCTCCCAACAAGGTTCCAGTTTATCGATATGGAAATTGGGACTTGCAGAGACTAAGAAACTTACTCAAACTCAGTATCTATAAAACGACCAGCCCAGAGTGTGGGCAGTTCCCTGGGCTCATCCCTGGGCAGTTCACTAACATTTGAATTAGTTTTCAAGTTGGTGGGGAGTGTGCCCCTCCTAGGTTTTAGATTAGACCTTCTAGAAAAATGAGGCTACAGAACTTTCACATCTTTGTTTTCTGTAGTTTCTTCTCAGGGTTCCATACAATAGTAAAGTGTGGATATGTGGAGTGGAGATATAGAAGGCCTGACTGAATTACAGAATCTAGAACAACAGCAACAAAACCAACCAACTGTTTTGTTCTGGGTATGATTCTTAATTTAGACTCCTAGTCCTTATGACTGGAAGATATCTCAGCTGTCAGCCTCATATGTAGGAGAAAATTTGAATGCTTGGTAATGCATTTGTATGGATGAACAATGCTGTGTTCCCACTATATATTATTTCCTTCTTCTACACCTCCTTCCAAAAATCAACTGTCGTATTTTATGTGAGATCTTTGACACTATTAGGCTTTCTTCTCTCCCTTTACTTCTAGTGAAATAAAATCATCAAATAAATCGGGGCTCAATCTCTATCACTGAGAATCACCTAGGACTCAATTAACCTTAAGCATTCAACACCACCTGGAGCAAGCCACTATGACTCTGTAGTGGCTTAGTCCCCAACCCTTATCAACTATCACTAAAGGGCCATATCCCTCCCAAGGTGCAGAATTCTTCACAATAGAGCTTTTAGGCCATCACCACCAATTCTCCTGAGTTGGAAATGAGAGCCATTCTATACCTTAACCAGGGCATCTCTTTTATATTGGTGTCCCACACTCAGCCCTAAGCCTATAGGAATTTCAACTAAAAATCAGGACTGAGAACAATCTACAGCTCATTATAACTGGGTAACTTGGAATGTTGGCACCTTATGAATGCAGAATTGGAATTTGGTTCATAAGAGTGAATAGACAAGATCTTTTTTGAAAAACTGACTCAGCCAATGTCTGTCTGAACAGATTACACCCTACTATACCCTTGTGAAAGTCTTGCTGTCAGCCTGACCCTCCCAGAGCTTAGAGATGCTATGAGATGGGTCCCTTGTGCTCCTATGTGCATCCTTCTCATGGCAGTGGAGGGTCTGGATACACTTAAATTCATCCCCAGAGCTACAGCTTGTGTGGTTCCACCTCTCATACAACCTTAGAAAGGAATCCACTAGAACTATTAAAGACCCTCCAGTTGGGTCAGTCAGGGATTTCCCTTCCAATGGTGTTAATTTCCAAATGGCAAATCATGTATGGGCACCTTTGACACATCTTATGTCATCATCCTCACAAGAGCTCTGGAAAAGATTGGAAGTTGTATCAAAGTAAAGGGAACTTATTGGATACATATACTAGAGTAACACAAAAGCAATTTCTGTCTGATATTTTCATGAAGAAGTGGGATAAATTTTCTCATCTCTCTGAGAGGCCACAAAGCCACAGAAACATACTGAAGTTGCCACGCTTTAGATAGGAAAGTAGAACATTCATCATGATAGGGCTGAATACCCTTTGGAGGTGACACTCTGGAGCTCTACCAGAAAAGATAAGGTTATAGATGTTGGCACAGAAGTCAATTTGTTTGGTGATTATGAACTTTGGAAAAGGAACCCCATCTGAATTTGGCTTTTGTGTTATTTTAGGTTTTGTTTTATTTTGTTTTGTTTTTCCTCTGGGTTTGGTGTGATGTGAGAAGAGTGTTTTAATTTTCTTTTAAATAACATCAATCCTTGCACACTCTATGCAAAAATTTTGTAAGCATTGCAATAATGCTATGAATTACAAGGAACTATTTTAACTTTATTACACTTTCTGTATAAAAACAAATTTGTATTTAATATTATTTCAACTGCAGTCTTGTAAAATATATTAATAAAAAATAATGATTGGTAAGAAGGAAAGTACCTTGTCCACTTCTTCAGAGAGCTCCTCTCTCATAGCTAATGGAAGTCCAGACTAATCTCTCTTCTACATTGCGTTGATCAATGTTCTTACATGTTAGCTAAAACATGTTGGCTCTTGGGAAGTTATTCACATCGACTATCTTATGAAAAGAGAGGTTAATTTAAGGTAAGCATGGCCTGCAATGTGAGAGTCCCAAAATGATTTGGGACATGTCAGGAAAATGCTATTCTTAATGAATCTTCAAGTCACCCATATGAACTGTGACAGAAGGACCTCCCCACCCCACTCACCAAGTCTTTGTAGAAGTCACCCCCTACTGAGGAGACCCCTTCAAGCAGCATCCTTTGTAAGACTATAGAGTCAGGCACTCAACCCTGGGCAAGTCACTTTTTATCTTTTTTCAAAGAATAGTCCAGCACACTGCTATATGGAGCACAGTGAGAGCATGTAGCATGGAAGATAGAGTCTCCTTGACCTACTCATCATACTCAGTCCTTCATTTTTAGCATTTGATCCTTCTTTCCTTCCACAGTGACAAGTTGCTATGCATACTATCTACTCCATCTACCTAGAACACCAACCACCTAGCACCACCCACCCCAGAATACCATGCTTTCCAATCTCATGTGTCATCTCTCTATGGTCCTCATCATTAACCCTTAATTCCACCATTAATTGACTTTATGTCATAATACTGCATTTTACTAAGCTCTTACCTATTTATCGATCTGAAACCTTAGAATATTTGCATTCAGTTTTAAAGTTTAAAAACTTGAACACATACCTAAATCAATCCTCACAATTATAAGGTAGATAATTTCCTTTTATAGAAAAATTCACCACATATTTTGCATGTCCTGTATATGACAAAGTAATTCCCATTTACAATTGTATTTTCGTCCAAGGCTACCTCTCATTAAATTTACCTGCTGACTCCCAATAGTGCTGAAGGGACAGAATCTTCAAAGCAAAGGACTATATTCTAAAAGTCTTGTTGCAATGCAGGGTGCGATCTATTTATAAAGATGGAGTTGTTTTGTTTCTTTTTTTTTTTAAGCAATCTACATCAAAGGTAATTAAGTTGCCAGCTAAAATATGTGGTGAAAAAGAAAAGTGTAATCTTAGTTTAAAAAGATAAAGAAGCACTCAAGGAGGAGAAATGCAGGCAAATACTGATAAATCAAACTATAGGCCTCATTATAGATACAAATTAAAGAGCATATGCAGAAATCAAGAAGCTTTAGAGGAAAATGGGGATTTTTCAAAGGAGCAAACAGATACAAATCAGCAACTGCTCGATTTCTTTGTAGCTTGACCCCACCATATTAGATTGTGTAATGGGGCATCCTCCTTGAGCCTAAAAGCCAAAATAAAGGGGTAGGAGTGGGGTCTGTGCATAGAGTAATAAACACATTTCAAAAGAAGCTGTGAGTATCACACAGGAATTGGCATCTCCAGTTAAGGACAATGACAAGTTAATTTTAGTTTATGTTTGCCAAGTTTTAATGACTTTCAACAGTACTAAACACTTGGCAGCAATTGAGGATCAATTTGCTGCCCCCAATATCTCCATTACTCTTCAAAAGGAGGTTAACAGATGAGCTATTGAGTCTCCTTGGCACAAACAATTAGGCATAATTAGGAATACTTTTAAAATATCAAGATAACATGTTATAATTTAAAATGTGATTATATAATCTTGCAAATGATGGTCTGTTCCAGTAGGAGACAAGCATTAGGAAGTAACAAAGTTTCAGATAGTAGTTATCAAAGGAACATGTTATAACCCTAACTAATCAGTCCTCATCTATTATGAGGCCATGTTAAGAGTTGTATTTTAAAATATGATATGCAAAAAATTACCAGTAAAATTGGAATTAAAATTAATATTTAAAAGTAAGCTATGTATATTTTAATGTCATTTGAGGAGAGATCCAAAAGCAATATGCCCCACCTCATTGACTGTACATGATGAAGCAAATAAATGATCAATAAACAAAAGTATAAAACCATGAAAAATAAGAACAAGAAGAAAAATAAAATATAACTATGGGAGGAGACTATTATCACTCTATCATGTAGCTTCTACAAAGTTACAAATTACAAAACACCAATACACATATATACAAACACATACATACATATACACAGAGGCTCCATAAGAACATCAAACTGCAAATGTTAAACTTTTCCAGCTACATTCTCTCAAAACAGAAAGATAAATAGATCATGTGTTCTACATTAACGAGATCCCTGAAATTTAAAGTGAACATATTCTGTTATCGAGTCCATGATTTGAGAAAGGAACCAGCCTATGTAACAAATGTTAATTTTTAAATACAACAAATCTTTGGATGAGGTGGCGTGAGTCTTTAGTCCCAGCACCCAGGAGATAGAGACAGGTGAATCTCTGACTTCAGGTCTGCCACTGCTACATAGCGAAATGTTGTTTCAAAAATAAAAATTTAAGAACACACTATAAATTATACGAATGGAAAGTCTTCTGAAGTATAAAAGGGTTTTAACTTGTCAGTAGAGAGATGATAAAAGCATTCACCATAAGATTCCAAAACCATCAACACAGTAACAAAAATAAACAGTAAGGCTAAAAGAAGGGGTCCTAAACTTTTATGTCTAAAAGAACCAAAACCAAAAATCTAAAAGAGACAATACTTCTAGTAAATATTTAAAACATTTAAAAGCACAAACATGAAATTAGAAGTTATGTTACTTTATTATATGAAAAAATTGAAAATCTCAGTGAGATATAGAACTTTAAAAATTCACCAAACATTAAGTGCTTGCTTCTCAAGCAGCTGTAAAGTGATTCTCAAGTAGAATCAAGACTCTGCCAACTCTGATATTCTTTGCTATATAAATACAATACCTATTAAGTATAATAGGCATGTGTCCAGACATACATAAACCTTTGTGTGAAAGAATAGAATGTGCCTTTTTCTTATGCTAAGATTCAGGCAAATTAAAATGGAAAGCAAATAGTGAAGATAAACACTAGATTCTAGACAAAAACCTAACAGTTATTTAAAACTATAAAACAGCCATAATGAAGATAACATTTTCAAGATGTGTATGTACATTTCTGCACTCACTGAGGTTGCAAAAGAAAACCAAAATAGTGAAATTGCCACAGATATGAAATAATGGATGCTGGGTAAACAGCTAGATTATCAGCACAACCCAAGAGAAAATGTAAAGATCATGAGACTGATATTTGGAAAACTGATCAGCCAATTATTGGTTGAAGGCCAAAGGCTTCAAGGTTCACACCTTAAATTATCTCCAGTGGTCCAGACGTAAGAACACTCTGTTATCTGGTATCTACAGAGTCTTTATGCTCTTGTGTATAACACACACCCCTTGCTTCAGGAAAATCAGAGCCTAGCCTGCTGGATGCATGAAGATCTAAAATGCACATTTACAACACAGCCTGGAAGAAAAGACAAAATAATAGGCTTG